GTCCCCGGGGCGCTGCTGCCGACATCATCATAGTCCGTGTTCCCAGGGCTCTGAGCTGAGAAGTCTGTTGTTGCTCCTGGGGGACATGGAGGGGAGCAGATCCCACCTTGGGGACAGCACGGAAAGGTGCCTGAGGGGGCAGGCAGCTCCGTGTCCCCCCGGACAGACCCCACCGTGGGTCTGACCACAGCACCCATGGATCTGTGCTGGGGCCCTGCCTGCCCCCACAGCCAAACCCTGCCCTGGAGTGGCTCTGAAGAGGCAACAGGGCACCTGAGAGCCCTCTCACCTGTGGGGAGGACACAGATCCCCTTCTGCTGTGCCACTCCCTCAGAGATGTCCCCAGTGCTGGGAGCAGGGGGCTCCTGTGGCACATCCAGGACATCATCGTAGCCATCCGGGGTTCCTTGCTCGGGCCGGGCAGGGGGATCTGGGAAAATCAGAGGGGCCCATGGCAGTGACCAGTGTCCCTGGCAGGGATCTGGCTGGGCCATCCCCGCCAGCCTTTCCACTGGGCACCTGCTGGAGGCCCTGTGGTCCCACAGGGAAAGGCGTTGTCTCGCTGCACATTAACAAGAGGGGGGCATTTGTCCCCTCATCCCTCCTGCCCGGGTGCGTCCCCTCTCCCCAGCTCTCCCTGCTGGGTTCCTGCCCTGTGGCCCTACCTGGGGCTGCCTCGGTGTCACTCCCCTCCACGCTTTCCCCAGTGTAATACGGCAGCTTGTTCTCCCATCCCTGGGACAGGGAACCTGCAGGGGACAAACAGGGACTTGGGGGTGGCCACAAGCGGCACCGCAGGTGACAGAACCTCACACCAGAGAGCAGGGCTGCGGTGGCAACCAGGGACACCCACAGCCCATGGCCAGGAGCCACAGCACGGCCACCAAGACCTGGAGTTGCCGTGGAGCTGTCAGGCAGAGCCTTCACTCCGAGCACAGCTGGGGCACAAGGGCGGCACCCACCTGGGGGAGTGGGCACCTCCTGGTACTCTGGCATGGCTTTGTAATCCAGCTCCTCGTAGACAGCATTGTAGATGGCATCTGCAGCTCTGCCAGGGCCTGGAACCAGATGCAGCACTTACCTGGGCCCCTGGGTCCCGTGAGTGGCACCGGGATCAGCCCTGGTCACCTTCAGAACTGTTCCACAGGACAGGAGCCCCTGGACCCCCAGACCGGATCTGTCCCCATTCCCCACACACCGGGACCCACCTCGGCGCCGGGCACGGGCACGGCACAGCAGCAGGGCCAGGGCACCCAGGGACAGGCACAGCAGCGT